ACAAAGTACAAAAGGAGAAATTGAAAAATTTTACTGTACACTAGACCACACCAAGGTTCAATGCAATTCACAAGAAATTACAATCATCATAGGAAACGTGAATGCGAAAGTAAGCAAGGAGAGAGAGATTGTGAAATAGTTGGCAAATTTAGACTAGGAACTCATAATGAATGTGGAGAAAAATGAGTCCAATCGTGCCCAGCAAATACTCAGGAAGTAGCCAATACCTTGTTTAAAAAAAAAAACAAGATGTTTATGGACATGGAGAAGCCCAAGAGAAACAAAAAACAAAATGGACTATATATCTATCAATAAGAGATTCAGGAACACAATTTTACACTGTAAAACATATCTAAGTGCTGACTGCGGGAGCAACCACCTCCACTGATATGTAAACTTAGAATAAAACTACAGAAATTGAAGAGGGCCAAGGCAGTACCGAAACTGCAATATGACTGACTCCTGAATGACTCGAATGAGAAGGAAAAATATATGGAACATATTAAAAGCCAATACAATGGACAAAATAAGAATGGAAACTCAAAGTGGAACACATTAAGAGAAGCTTTAGTAATATCCATAAATGAAATCCCAAAGAAAAATAGACAAAGAGAAAAAGAATGGATGACAGATGATATTCTTGACATGATGAAAAGGAGACAAAAACAATTTCAGTGTATGAATATAGGGCTCTGCACAAAGAAATTAGAAACAAATGCAAGCAGGCTAAAGAGGAATGGGTCAACAAAAAATGGGCTGAAATAGAAAGAATGAGTATTACAGATAAAGCAGATATGCATAAAAAAATAAAAGACCTAACAAAAGACATGCTCCTCAACAGGATGCATAAAATCCAGGACACTGAGAGAAAGAAAAATTACTTCAAAAATGGAACAAATACATTGGAGACCTCCTCCATCATGAAAAAGGATAATCAGTAATATACAGAAATACCAACGAAATATTAAAATCTGAAGTGAAATCAGCACTGACCAAATTGAACAGAAGTAAAACAGCAGAGATTCAGGGCAGCCTTATATGATTTCGGCATTAACAAGATAGCAGATATAATAAATGAAATATACAACAGTGGTGATATACCAAAAGACCTAAGTAGATAAATTTTCATGGCACTGCCTAAGCTAGGTGCAAATGAACGTAAACTTTATTGGACAATCAACCTAATGAGCCACGTCCCAAAACTTAGAATTTGAATTCTAATAAATAGTGTGCAGCAGAATCAAACCTGAAATAAGACAAGAACAATATGAATTTGTTAAAGTCCTGGAATGAGGAATGCAATATTTATGCTCAGAATGATATCAGAAAAAGCAATATAAATGCAGGAGGAGGTGAACCTATGTTTTATAGATTGTACAAAAGCATTTGATAATGTACATCACAAAGAACTGTTACAAATGCTAGGTAACTTTGACATATTTGAGAAGGATATTAGAATAATCCAAAATCTATACTGGCTGCAAACTACCTGCATGTGGATAGAAAATTAATTCAGTAAATATTCGAAAGGGATGTAAGACAAGGATGTGTCTTGTCACCAGACTTATTCAACCTATACTATGCATCAATTTTGAAAGAATTAGAAGTCCTACCAGAATTCATTATTGGTGGCCATAATGTTAACAACATAAGATATGCAGATGACACAGTGTTGGTAGCAGGCATAAAAAGGAAAATATAAGAATTCTTACAGAAGGGAAGCAAGAAGAAAGGACTTAAACAGTAATTGCAAGAAGACAGAATTCATGGTTGTTAGCAAACAGAACAACCTAATTTACATTATTCAGACTATTGTCCTCATCTTTGTCGCCATATTTATTACAACCTTCCGGCCGTTGTACGCTCCAGCCTTCTTCAGGTGGTTGGAATGTCAAACTGAACCCTCAAGGACACATGGCACAGTGGATAAAGGCGTTAGTTAGATCCAGTGACAGGACCCAAAGAGTGTGAGTTCAATACCCGGTTAAGGCAATGGAGAACTTTCAGAGGGAAATTAACAGGAGATAACTGATAACTGACATCCATTAAACATGGCATGTGGAACTAGAACAGTCTACCCCAGTGAGCGAAATAAAGGGTTCAGTTTGACATTCCAACCACCTGAAGAAGGCCGGAGTGTACAATGGCCAAAACATTGTAACAAATATGGCGACAAAGATGAGGACAATAGTCCGAATAATGTAAATAATGTACATAATACCTCATCTCAGAAATATAGACAGATACAGAACAACCTAACATGCAAATTGCAATATGGAGATGCCAAAATCAAACCAGTACAACAATTTAAATATCTGGGAAGTGTTTTAACAGAGGATGGAAAGTGTGCCACTGAAATCTGAAGGCACATTGAGATAGTGAAAGATGCCTTCCAAAATCTAAGCAAAGTATTTAGAAACAGGAAAATTTTGTTAGAAACAAAGTTGAAGAAGAGACTTGAAGCAACAGAAATGTAGTTCTACAGAAGGATGCTGAGAATACCACTGACTAAACATGCAAGTGACAAAGTTAGGTAGAAAATGAAAAATATCAGAAAGAGATTTCTGAAATTTTTAAGTTGCATAATGAGGAAAGACAGCTTGGAAAATCTGATACTCACAGGACAGATTGAGGGCAATAGGGACAGAGGGAAGCAATGCATAACATACATAGCAAGCTTGAGTAAATGGATGGCAGAACAAGGTTTAGGACAGATAACAGAAAGACAAAATGAATTAAGAGCTACAAAAAACGGGAGATTGTAACAACTTCACATTGAAGAAATATGAAAATACCAAATTTCAAAACACTGTGGTAGTATCATGAAATTTCTTTGAAAGTACAATTGTTGCCTTGATGTCTTGAATTTTGGTAAGCACCCCCATCCCTGATCCAGCAAAAACCAAGATACTCTGAAATCATTCAACGGGATGATGAAGAAACTCCAGTGGATGTCCTGTACAACACATTTGAAATAATACCACCCATTAACATACCAGAATGCATGGATATATCTCCTACACCAGCTTTGCCCATAGGATCAAGATGTTATTCACCTCGAAAGAGTACAAGAAAAAGAAAACCCACAGTGCGGTTAAGTCCAGAACCAAAAAAGAGAAAGTATTAGAAAGCTAAATTTTCTAGAGGAAAATTTCAGCTTGGAGTGAGGTGATGTAATGGAATAACCTGTCACCCCCATGAATGACTATGCTATAGGTAGTAGCTATCTATATGTGTCTGTAAGTAAATGGACTACAGGATCTAGCTGTCATCTGTTCCAGCTAAACAGTCAAACTCTCTGCCTGAAGGCAGGGAGGAACCCAGATGAGGCTCCACCAAAGGGCAGAGTCTCGTTCAGGGAGGTAGACTGACCCTGAACCTATTTATGTGGGTTCAAAAGGAAATACTTTTGGCCGAGCCTACAGGCTCAGAGAATTCACGTTAAACCAGCCTTGTGCCACATGCAACCCTCATGGGTGGGGGGTAGCTAAATATTCTAGGTGCAATCTGTTCCAACTAGACAGTCGAACTCTCTGCCTCTGAGCAGAGAGGAACTCGGACGAGGCTCCGCCAAAGGGCAGTCTCATTCGGGGAGGTAGACTGACCCTGAACCCGTTTATGCGGGTTCAAAAAAGGAATATTTTTGGCCAAGCCTACGGGCTTGGAGAACCCACATTAAACTGTCCTTGTGCCACATGCAACCCTCGTAGGGAGGTAGCTAAATATACTAGCTGGGATCTGTTGAGTACAACTCAATACAAGAATTACCAACCTTCCAATAGTAGCACTCACTACAGGATTGACTTGTGACGACCTTGTGCATAACTGTTACCTTTATTCTTATTGTACTGGTTTTTACAATAAACTTTTACTTATTCTATTGTGTTTTTCAAGTATTCCTATTAGCACGGAATATAACAAATTGAAAAACATTTTTGATGATGCTAGAAAAATGCTTAAGACCAGTTCACTCCAGAATGTTTAAAAGTTTGTGTGAAAACCTGGACTGGCTGAGTAAGGGAAAAGTTCTAAATCGGGAGTTTGAGCTGAAAGATGAGTTGCAGAAATAATTTCAAGAAAGCAATAAGCAAAATTTTGCTAAGTGCTTTGAAAATGAAAAAATGAGTGCAGAGGCTAGCCTACTTAGCAGACATTTTTCATCATAAGAATCAGCTGAACAAGTCACTGCAAGACCCCAAGGAAAATGACAAAATTCAAGTGACAAGATTCTTACACTTAAAAGAAAACTGAATCTTTGGAAAAATCATGCTGCAAAAGGAAATCTTGAGATATTTCAGCTACTGTTGGGTCTTAAAAGCAAAGAGGGATAATATCACTAAATTTCAAGACTTATCCACCTGCAGGGACTGTGGATCAGAATTGAACATTATTTTCCCTCCCTTCAACACAAGTGTATAATTGGATGAGGAATCCACACTATGAATCTTCTGGTCAGAACTTTAAAAGAAGAGGAAGAACTTTGGGAGCTGCAGTCAGATCATACACTCAAGACAGGATTTATGGACATATCCGAAAAAATATATTTATCTAGTAAACTACAATAAAAACATATTAATAATAGATAAAAGAAATATTAATAATTTTTATGCAGGTGTTCTGCAAGACATGAAAACTATTTCAAGGGTGGCATAAGGGTAAAAAGGTTGAGAAACACTGGTCTACTCTCTTCTTTTATCATCTGTTGTGTCATTGAAGTAATGAGCTCTCTATTTTGAAGGTATCTGGTAGAGGAATAGACCATACTGAGTTTATAGTGCAGCTATGCTGAGCAGATTTTAGTTAGTTTCTGGGAGAGAGCACATAATCGGTCTCACCACTCACTACAAAGAAATAGAAAAACAGGTATAATTTCCAAATATTTACTGAGATTCATTTCTAAATATTACCAGAATGACATGAATTTGTTTATTGTTGATAAAACGGTATGACTGTATTCCAATTTCAATCTCAATTTCGTATGTCTTTCTATTTTATTTCAGGAGTTATTTATTTGGTAACATTAACTCTGGTATTTCTCTGTTGGGAAGTGAAGAACTTCACCGTTATTTCCCTGATAGAAAAGTGAAAATGTTTGTTGGAACTTGGAATATGGGAGGACATAAGGTTAGTAATTATGACTACTTCAAAATGAGGTCATGCTTATTTGATAAACAAAGCTAATTTTTTTTTAATAGTTCTCAAGCCTTGAATGCAACTTTTCTTTCTATTTTTCTTTTAGAAAAAATTCCAATAATATTAATAAGAAATAATTTTTACTAAATAATTTTGCTCAATGATAAAGTAGAAATCAAATATTTCCTTGTTACTTTTTATAATTCTTCATCAAGAAGTTGATGGCAGCGAAGTAAGAAGTAATTCTGTTGTTCTTTAGGTATAGTTTTCACTCATCAAGCTTGCAATAGGAAATTGCTAAGTGTTTTTTCAGTCAAACAATGAGTAAAAACCTCATAATTGGATTGAAAAAACACTTATTTTGTCTGATGTCAAGATGTGCCTTAACCCCTTAAATGGCGAAAAAAAAGTTAGATGAATATGCACACTAAATGAGTAAAATCAAGAAAATCAGTATTCATATTTTTGTCACTGTTTAATCCTTAAATGAGGGGAAAGGTGTAGACATCAAATGGGTAAAAATGGTATTTTCACTCAAAGTAAATACAAAATCTATGACAAGTATATTTTAATTCTTTTGTATTAGAAAAGTAAATAAAAAATAGAAATAAAAAAATTTTAATTTCCTAAATTTGATCTTTTTTTAAAAATATCAGAGTTCATCTATCTTATATCTCCTGCTAGACAAAAATCAGTAACAGTGAATAGCGAGATGGTGTTGGGTGTGCCTAACCCTGATTGCTAGCAGCTGCAGTCATTACTTTTATATTGAAATGTGATTGGTCTCTATAAATAGTTACAATTAACTATTAATGCATCACATCTCCCATCTCAAGGTATGAGAATTATAATATTCATTATTGACAGATAAAAAAGTATTTACACTGCATATATCATTAATATGTGGCATATGAATAATCACAGGAGTAGACTACCCCCCCCCCCAATGCTCCTAGAATTGGCATTATTCTGGCTATTATTAAATTTCTGTTCTGTACCGGATTTCTTTATAACATGACCACTTCTACTTATATTATTTACATTATTCGGACTGTTATCATCATCTTCATTGTCATATTCACAACGTTTCAGCCAAAACATTGTGAATATGGCAATGAATGATGTAAATAATGTAAGTAATCATAATACTTCATCTCAGAGATATAAACAGAGACAACCACTTCTTGTAACAATTCTGCCAGTTTCTGAGTGAGGCATATTTGAAGGGAGTCTGCTGAAAAGCATCTATTACAGTTCTTCATAGTTGAATTCATCAGATAAGAGTGCTGACCTTTTAGTTATCATTCTCTCTTGATTGGTCACATCTGTCATCTACTTCTTCTATATTTGTCCTGATGTAGTTGTGACAATGCATGATCTTGGTTTGTCACATTTATTAGTGATAATTACTGGTGCTCAAGTTTTGTCATCTAATTGTACTTGTACAAATTCTTTTCCTGTATGTCGATTGTAATATTTCTGCTTCTGTTTTTGATATTCAGCATGTCTTTTACAGATGGATGGAGTAAGCAATGTAATGTAAGTAATAATATTCTTAGATGACTCATGAGAAATTGTGCAGATTTTCCAACTTTATCAGTTGATGTATTTCTTAGTTTTAGCAATAGGTTTACAAAACTTACAATAAGCCCAAAGTTCGTATATGAACCTTTACCCCTGGATTGGTGAAACTTTCAGATTAATAATTTGAAATGTCAAGTATCTTACTTTGTTGTTGACAGAGCATTTCAGTTTTAGATGTCCTTTGAGTCAGATAATTTGTTGACTGTAACTCTTCAGTCGGACTTTGGTTGTCTGTAGCGGACTGGTGCAAAATGTATTCTTGGATGTTATGTTGGTTTTTGCTGCCATATACAGATTGAAATTTAATGGTTGTAGCATCATTTACTACTATCTTTTGTGTTCAGTTTGATGACACTTTGTTTGTTTCTAGCATGATTTTGTTTAAAAATAAGCAGTTCTATGATAAGTCATCACTTTCCTTTCCGTTTTTCTGATACACCTCATGGTTTACAGTGGGCCATGCTAGCAGAATAGTTGGGTTTATGGTATTTTTTACATGTTTTTCTGCATTTACTGTGTTGAAATGTGTCACAAAAGAAAAAAATCAGACTCAACTTCTGAGACAAAAACTGCCCTCCTTCTCATTCCAGCCCTTTACATAGAGCTTGGTAACTCACCTATGCAAAACACCAACAAGCCAGCTACCAATCACGGTTTCCGCACCTGCCCACCTCCACTTGCTTTGGGGGTGTCAAGTAGACCGACCAACTCATTACATTTACCACACAAAATTTGACATTTAGGGCCAGTGTTTGGATATTGGGATCCTCGATATCGGAACACCAGGTTGATGCATCATTTAATAATCTGCATTCAAATTTACAAATGATTAAAACAATATTTTTAAAAGTTCCTTTCTCATTATCATTTGTTTAAACATTGAACTCTGTGATATTCTGCTAAATAAAAAATGAAGACACATAAAATAAGAGAAACTTTAAAAATAATAAATTGGAAAAAGGACTAAGAATATTTTCCACTTTATTTCAGGACATGGTTTCACAACGAATTGTCGACTTTATCTTGCCTGAAAAGTGTGAACTTGTGCAAGACATTTATGTAATTGGAACGCAGGAAAATTCAATGCAAAAGTAAGTGAATCCAGACTCAGAACGAAATAGCTTAAATATATTTCAGAAATATATTTGTGTCTATTATAAAAACCAGAATGAATGATTTATTTTCTTGTCATGAATACAAAGAAGTGTGTGTGTTAATTTCATGCTTATAAGTAATTGCACAAATGAATATACATGTGTGTATGCATATACATTTAGGCAAAAATGTATAAACTTATTGATGTATATTGTAATTATGAATGTCAGAATGAGTACACATGCATACCCATGTGTGTGTGAAAGTGAAAAGGTAGGGGATCAATGTTTATATTAAATGGATTTTGATCTGGAATTTTCATTGTATAATGTTTGATCCAGGTAATTAATTGACAATGAAGAAAATTATTTTTTAAATTAATATTTATTGTGTAATATTATTTATTGATGTACTTTTAACAAATTAGTTACACATTAAATAAAAAAATGAAACTTAGTTCAATGCAATATGATCTTCAGGCATGTTATACAATCCTTCCAGGTTTGCTTTATGCGAATTTACAAGTATGGAAGATAACCGTGGATAATTGTGTTACCTCTATCTTGAAAACTGTCTGTGTTCATAACACTAAAGGATGATGAGGAAAATTTTAAAGTGAAACCTGCATGTAGGCTCCTAATCTCTTTTGGGGAAAATCAGTAAAACATTATTGGGAGGTATTATATGTTACAAGAGACATTACAAATCGGCCAATGGAAAAATACCAAGACTGCTGAACTAGTAGTCTCACTGATAAGCAAAGCCGTAGACATGGTCAAACTGTGCTCAAATATAAATGACAGACAGACTGAGATCGTGAATCACTGTTGAAAGTCTATACTATTCTATAAAGAATTTAGGTAGGTCAAGAAAGATGATCGTGGTATCTCTAATGCAGCCATGGGAAGACAGAAGTCTGTGAAATGATTGGAAATTATCAAAATTAATGAAGATAGCAGATAAGAGGTGTCAGATTATATCTGGGTGATGGCTAATAGTTCTTAGTGGATACTGCAGCTTCTATAGTACCTTCTGTTTCATTAACCCCCCCCCCCTCCTGAAGAAGCACAGATAAAATCAGAAAGTGAATTATGAAACCATTTAAAGAGTTTGGTTTTAATATCAAAATTAAAACAAAGTAGACTTTCTTAGTGTAATGTTTGATCTTGTTAGAAGAGTGTATTGCTTGAACAAAAAGGAATGATCACCCAAGCTACCACTCACTGGCTATTTTTGAACTAAACCTGAAATCTGTATATAACTGGCTACCCATGAATTCCAGTAATGGAGACCTTTTCAATTGTGGCAAGCCAGATTATGATACAGCATTAAAGAGCAGATGCACGGCAAATTTGATTTTCAAATGTTTTAGAACCAGAAGAAATATTAGCATGAAAAGATTATTTTATTTAACCCTCCCCCATATAAGAAAGTTTTAAAAATGAAAGTAGAGAGTCTGCTTCTCAAGCTAATTGAGAAACAATTCTTGATTGCCAGTAAACACCATAAAAGATTTCCTAGAAACATATTGAAATGGACTTCTTGCTGCACAGACAACATAATCTAACAAATGCATAGCATTAAACCACTATCTACATGTAATATAAATCTACTCTCACTATAATTGTGGAAGTAGAGATAACTGCTCTCTTTGGAGCAAAGTTTAGATACTAATGTAGTTTATTAAGCAACTGTGAAAAGTAGAGGTGAACCTAAAATGTCCTACATTGGTGCTACTGAAATGGGGATAAACAATAACAATAACACCTCTTTTATAAGAAAGTAATATGCCAATAATACAACACTTATTAGATATTTGTGAGAATTAATATTGTGGGCATATGCTTTATTTATAAAAAACTGAAAATTATGCCTGGAAGAGCAGCAATGAATTCTTAGAATTCTATCAGTAAGGCAGGCTCTTAAAAGTTCTAAAGTGATCTCAAAATAAAATCCTGAGAATGAGTAACTGTTATATCTATTCTCCTGACTAAGTGATGGGCTAATGATGGGGTAGGTATTTGTTCTTCTTAGGGGTGAGCAGGGAAAATGGACTCTTTTATGTTTGTTTGCTTAAACATACCCAACTCAGAAGTATTGAATAATGATGCACTTGAAGATCACCCTGCATGAAAATAACAGCTGTGATTTTTAGTCTTTTTTACTTAGTAGCTCCTGAATACTGTTTTATACTAACACTGTGTAATAATCAATCACTTGTTGACAAATAGAATCATGTTGTATGCTTAGTAGTTAGAGTATCAATATTATATATATATATATATATATATATATACCAAAGTATATAATTGGTATATACGGAATGAATTCCAATAACCAACAATTACTATTCTTAAAAGAGTGCTCAATACAAAGTAGAGCAGATATAATTATTTTTTAAAAAAATTATAACATAAGTATGTTATAAAATCACTACAAAATAGCCATTTTGTTTCAACACACTCTGTGTCTTAATTTTCTTTTCAACATCATCACTTGATAAGACACAGAGTGTGTTGAAACAAAATGGCTATTTTTGTAGTGATTTTATAACATACTTATGTTATAATTTTTTTATAAAAAATAATTATATATATCTCCAGATAAGTTTTATAAATTCAATTTACAGTTTTCGAATAAGATGTATATCAGAATCAAAATTGTAGATAAACTGTATGGAGTTCAGGCTTGTTCTGTTTTGTTCAAGTACTATTATCAAAAAGCATGTGTTGTCAGTGTGTCTATTGTTTACATCCTGGCATTTTTACAAAGCTGAAATTTTAAATCAGTCCTAAGTGATATCATGTGTAATGGTTAAAGCAAGCTATACTCCATCAGAAAATATAAATAAATATTGTTTAAAATTAATACACACCATTGGCCAAAATTTGGAGCCACTCTCTCAATTTAATTAGTAAGTTTCATAACTTCTTTGGCTTAATTAATTCTTACTAAACTGAAACTGTTTAACTCACTATTTATTGAATGCCATCCATTTTTTTTATAGAGAGAGAATTACTTCTAATTTAAAACCCACTAGACTTAAGATTACCATTAGCCAATAATGTAGATTAAGTAAAAACAGTTAAAATTTTAAGAAAACTTTATGCAGTAATGGGTTAACTTTGATATTATTATTGAATATTTAGGAAGAGAAAGTCCCTCTGGCCTAAAGTGAGCAAATAAATTATTTTTTTTATTAAGGCATGCAACCTTCAATTTTTAAGAATTTCTTTGAAATCTAGAGGGTGGCTCCAAACTTTTGGACTATAGTATGTATGTGCATATATATATATATATATATATATATATTGATTTTATTTTTACTGTTTTTCAGGAAGGAGTGGGAGATTAAATTGCAAGAGAACCTTGGCCCCTCCTATGTTTTATTTCATTCCACGTCTCTTGGCTCTTTGCATTTGGCTGTGTTTATGAGGCGGGATTTAATCTGGTTTTGTTCAAGTAGGTAAAATTTGAACAGTGTCTTGATCAAGTTTTCTTCTACTTCTTTTCCTTTCATTCTTCAAATAGATGACATTATTTGGGTGTGCATCGTTGCAAATGTTCTGCCAATGTTACAAAACAATAATCAAACAATTATTTTATTTCCCCATCCGTTTGGTTAATATTTTGCAACACAGAACAAAAGAAACATTATTTTATTCTTCCATCAAATTTATTATTTGCTCTTAGCAAAACAGACTCTGCATCCTAACTGGCCGGTGATAGGGGTGGGGGGGTAATGGAGACATAACAAAATCCAGGACATTATGAAGGTTAGTACTGGGGTGGTGGTGTCTATTAAAATTTTGAAACTATTTTCATACATGTGTATGAAAATAGCAAATATTTCCATGTTTTTAATTTTTGCTGCTTGTCAAACAAAAGAAATAAATTCAGTGTAAACAATCAGATAAAAATAACAAATTTTATCCTCTTAATTTATAACAGACACCTCATTAAAACATATTTTATAAGTTGACCAACTTCAAACAAAATTAAAAAAAAATTTGTTACTGATGGAAATGATACCACAACTAAGAAGAAATCAACTTAAAGTAAAAGTTAGTCAGCTTATAATTTACATAAAAAGATAAGTTTTATTTTATTTGAAGTTAGTCAGTTTATAATTTACATAAAAAGATAAGTTTTATTTTATTTGAAGTTAGTCAGCTTATAATTTACATAAAAAGATAAGTTTTATTTTATTTGAAGTTAGTCAGCTTATAAAATATGTTTTAATGATGTCTGCTATAATCTAAGAGTATAAAATTTGATTATTCATATACATGTTTGCACTTATTAATGATGCACATTTTATAATCAATACAACCCCAATTTGTGCCCAGTACAATGTATAATCATACAACTAGGTAGGGAATATACAGTGATTCCTTAGAACAACTACCCAATTATATTATAATAGAAAAATATAGTTTCCCATGAAGTTGTTAAATATTTATGCTGGTGCGTGAGCAGGCATCATTTAGCACACCAAGAATATATTCTTCTGATAAAACATTAGGGATTATAGATTGTTGTTTGGAATAACAGCAATAATTTCTTTTATTTCGAGTGAAATTGCAAAATTTTTCATTGGTTTATAGAAGTTATTTTTTCTGCCAATTGTTTATTTTCTGTCTGAATTTCTCTGATGAGAAGTTATTATTTACATTCAGACTAATCTCCTCACCTTTGTTGTTATTACCACAATGTTTTGACTGTTGTACCCTTTGGCCTTCTTCAAGTGTCTGTTGATCTGAGTAACCTTCAGTATATTTCAAACATGGTCTTTTATTTAATCTATGAGTGGAGATTGTTTTCTCATTCTGCTGTCCATATCTAGAGATATTATGTCTTTTTCTATTCAGTTACTACATGCTCTGTCTTTTTTTTTTTGTTTTTAAGTCAGGCAAAATCCCTCCCAGAATTTTCAAACATCACGTACTAATGAGGCTGATATTAAAGTTTCTGGCATTTTTTTTGGCAAAATCTTTCAGCCAGTTATCCAAATATTTTCTCGGCTTTCTTTGACAACCATCTCTCATCTGTATTGTGTATTCCATTAAAAAAACAAAAAAAAACAATTCTAATTCTATGACTTCTTCAAAGAATTTTTTTTGGTATTGACCAAACAAGGAATATTTGATGGAAAGAAGCATACAATAATCTGAAGATAACATTTCTATTCTTCATTTACCAGAATTCTATTATCGTTTGTTTTGTTGTATTTGTAACATGAGGACAGGCATTGGCTAAATCATTGGCCAACTTGCTTGGTCAAGCCTTGAAAAGCTGAATATTGAGATTTTGGTAGTGAGTTTGTGGGGTTGACCATTACTAGTGAGAAGTGAGTCTAATCCTCACCGGATGCCTCATATTTGTGGCCTTGTGCCAAACTGTTCCTATTTTTCTCACATTTGAATTTCTCCCAAGGTTTATTTGCACCATGTCACAATTGATTGACTGCACAAGCAGCAAAAAACTGGGTAAGTTTCAAAAAACATTGGGCAAAAATGATACTGTAAATTTCATTGTTTTGCTTTCATCCAAAATATTCCTAAAACTGATCCCTTCTACTCATAGATTTTATCTCCTCAATATCAAATGACTATATCAAACTTTATAACTTTTAAGATTTCTGGCCTTCAGGCTGGGATGAAAATGTAGTATCTGTTCTCCTCATCATTAAGCTATATGCAATTTCAATCCAGCAGCATCACAATCCTGACTGTCGGAGGGGTTAGCTGGATATACCAATGTCAGTAGTCATGGAGACCAGGCAATTTTTGTCCTTAACCTACATATATATATATATATATATATATATATATATATATATATATATATATATATATATATATATATATATATATATATATATATACAGGCACCTCACAATAAGATATCAATTGTCTTGCCACCATGGGGAGGCTAATGAATACTCATCAAACTTCATTTTAGCTAAACTTTTGTTTTTACTTATTTTCATTTTTAAATTTAAGAAAAAGTATGTTTTGTTACTAACAAGTAACATGTGTGTCCTTACTTTTGGTTAATGATTGATTTTCTACTATTGGTAGCTTTTCTTACAACTTAGAAGCAAGAAAAAGACAGTCTTGTTTGTATCGTAAATTTCTAATGATACCCCTTCTTTGCTAGATCTTGAAGAAAATAACCTAGCTACTCGAGCTATGACAATGATCAAAACGAAAGGCTCTGTGGCACTTGCCTTTTCATTTTTTGGGACTTCTCTGTTGTTCATCAATTCCCATTTCACAGGTAAGTCTCCAAGATTTTCCATTCTACCATTAGAAGCACCATTATTATTTGAGAAGATCTACCATTTGAAGAGTTGATTTTGATGAAATTATCTTCATTTGATAAAAATCATTACACCATATCTTGTAAGAGGTTATTAAAACTTCAGATAAAATCTGTAACAAATTCTAAAAAGAAAAAAATTTAGAATCTTCTTTGACACTCAAGACATGGATGATCATAGCTCTCCACAACTTCATGTCTTTTGTTGCTCTAAATAACGTTTGACCCTTTACCATCTCTCCTTGTCACAGTTCTGCCATCCACTTACACAAACTTACTTCTCTTGCCTTCCATACATCCTGTGAGTGTTAAATTCTCTAAACCATTTTTCTTTATGCATCCCAGCAATTTCATTCATCTTATAATCCTTTTTCCCCACCACTATCTTGCAGCAGATGACTTAAAGCCTGTTGACTGATTTCTAACCCTAAACCCATTGTCATTGGATTCCTTACATTGCTCTTTACCATTCTAAAACTGCTTTTCTCAATTAGGCAGGTACTGTTGGATAGTGAGTCTGTGTAGTTGATCATTACTACTGAGAAGCGAGTTCAATCCTCACCTGATGCCTCATATTTGTGGCAAACTAAGTTAAACTTAGTAAATTACAACAAAATCAGTTGCAGTTAAGGAATTATTCTTGGATTCTCATTTAACCTCTGAAAATCTAACAGTTTCTTTCTACATAAAAAAGATCTTTTTTTTTTTTTACTACCTTAAATCTGACCTTTTTGCAACAGGATTGGTCTGAAAGAATAAAAAAACATTGTCTGTGGTTTTTATATTATATCTTTTATCATCTATAGATAACCATTAAGATTGTAAAGCTTTTCATTAGCTTTTCCATAATATGGCATAATTCAAATATTGGTGTCCAGTAGAATGTGATTTTTTTTTTTTTTTATAGCATGCTACCAAAAGATGTCTGATCGTGTAAACGATTATGAAAAGACCATCCGAGAACTCAGACTGGCAAAAGGGCGTCTTCAAAGTTCTAAAAAAGGTAGGATTTCTGCTTGAGAATGTTCATTTTAGTGGGATTCAATCAAAATATTTATCTTTTTACTACTGACTAAAAAGACTTTTTCGGTAAAATGATTTTTCATACAGTCTGATCAGTGCTATTCTGATCACTTCTCTTACAGTTTCAAGTCAAATCAAGAATTCATTTAGACAAATGTTTTTCAAATTTTCTGAGAATTATATTGTCCCAATATCACCAATTCCTAGAACAGTTGTCTGTTTCTTTCATCATTGAATAAAATGTTTTAACACTTTTAATGGTACCAATCAACTTGAGAGTCAGACATTTTTTAAACCAGTTTACTTCTGGTTTAAACTCTTCATAAAATGGTAAAAGTCACCGATGTCAGCTGAACTAGACTCTTTATAAAATTATAAAAGTCACAGACATTATTCAAGACCAGCTACATAAGTCACATAAGTAATTGGGAGTAACCATTTCCATCAGTGGTAAAAGTCAGATATTAATTAGATTGACCATTTCATTAAATGGTAAGAATCATGAATATCAATTGGACTGATATTTTCATTAAATAGTAAAAGTAATGGATATCCCTTGAACTGGCCTTTTCATTGAATGATGATAAATGTCACAGATGTCAAGTGGACTGACATTTTTATTAATTAATGAAAGTCAGGATTGTTCTTGGGCTGATCTATGGAGATCACATTGGATGAAAACTTTGTAGATATAAAATGTCAGTAAACCTTGGAAATCCTCTGCCCTTAAATCAGTACAGATCAGTAGAACCAAATGGGCTGCTTTTTCAAATATGGATTCAATCAATAACTTGTTTGTTGTGAAACCAAAAACACTATACTCAAGGCCAGATTATCCTCTAGGCAAGTATAGGCTGCAACCCTTCAAGCTTTTATAATGGCAATGATTTTAATTTTCTAGACATTATAACTTGTAAATAATTTCATAAACTAAAATGATACCAAGATGACAAGCTCATATTTATTTGGCTTTTCAGGAAGCAAAGCAAGAAAGCTTTAGTTTGTGTCACTGTGTTTCAAGTAGATAACATTCAATTTTAGTTCAGAATGTTTAAATCTTAAACTGAAATAACAGTATGACAAACTCATTTATTTTGATATGTTTTTTTTTACTGCAGTTGTGTTGAAATACGTGCTAATTTGGTTTGCAATAAAGAATAGAATATTTTTATTGATAAACAAAAGATAGCTATTCTAGTTTATTTAAGGAATTATTTCAAGCCATGTAAGTGTTACCAAAATATATCAGAAGTAAAAAATATTTAAGACAGATGCAGGTGAGTTAGATGGTGGCTCCGTCTGAAGAGGTCCCCATAATTTCATTAGCCTAGGTACCATAAAAGGTCATAATCTGATCCTGAATATACTCTATGTTCATTAAAGCCAACTCAACCATTTATTAAACTAACCGTTTTTTTTTTTTCTTCAGTTAATCTTTTTCTGTTTGGATTTTTTTCTTTTTTTACACAATTTACCAATGGTCAAAATCCTATCCTGTATACCTGGAAGTATCCTCCATTAATAAACTGTGTTAGATGTTTAAACATTTAATTAAAATGCTCAATATTATGCCGTAGAATGTCCTGTTACCAAAAACCTTCTTCTTCCCAAGAAAAAAGACACTTTTTTTCTTTCCTTAATTGAATGCTGCCCAATTTTTCCTTTCAGATCTGTCTCCCCAAACAGTTGTTTTCTTCACGTAACCCATCTTTTTTTTCTTTCATTTTTTATAATAATATTTAATTCCAGAAATTCTTCAAATACTTTTTGATTCAAATTTGTGCCAACTTTTACGTATCTTTTTTACCTTTTCTTTTAATGTTTGTTTTATTTTCCTTATTTCCAACTCTATGTCTCTCCTTAAAGATATAATCGGTCAATACAACTCTGTGTTCTGGATTGGAGATTTCAACTTCCGTATCGATGGAGATGCATGTCCAGTGGAGAACATGCTTGGAGATCAGAACCCAAATTTTGAAAAGATTCTTCGCAGTGATCAACTCTTACAGCTGATCAATGAAGGTAAATTTCATGACAGGTTTCATTTCATCCTCAAATTTGGTATATTAAATCTATTAATTACATAACAAATTAACTAAATTTGCTGCATGCTTTGACATGCTGAATAAAGGAATGAATGTCAATAAAAATAAAAACTAAAGGTCTTCAAAATAACTAAGAGTTGATTTAAGAAACAAAAACACAAAAGATCTTATGGGTTCAGTTTTTGTGGGTGATATGGGTAAATAGACAAACATTAATAAAATCTCTTGTTTATCAAATATTGGTTGCCTTTGAAAATACATTTTTTTTTAAAGCTACTTTTCTTCTTTATATTTCAAATGGTCTGAAAGAAAAAAAGTAAGATATTCTGTGCTTGCATTTTTGAAATACTGATTTTTGGGGAACTGGATCATATGAAGAACTTTTCAGTACCCTCTAACAAAGATTGTTTTTACCAAACAAAAAATATTGACCAGAGTGTATTACTGAATCATTCTAAAGTCTACTCTAACTCTTAACGCCTCCACCTAAACTCTGAAATTTTATTTACTATTTATTTTTCCTCAATAGGAGTAGATAGGTTTGCCTATCATTTGGTTCACACTCCACCCCAGTCTTTTGAACAGGAGTAGAGGTTTATCCCTTGTGCCCTGTATAGAAATGTGTTTCTAGTTTCTTCTAAAGTCTTCTCGTTCTTTTCACTCCCATTAGCCCCTTGAATTTTAGTGGCATTATTGCCTGAGGTGAATTGATTAAAAAAAAATAAATAAATACTTCCAGTAATACACTGGTTGACCTTTTAAGGCAAGAAGTCTTCTTCTATCTATATAAAAAACAGAGAGTATGTGTGTCTGTCTGTCTGTCTATTTTTTGATCTCGGGGAATCATAAACAACTTGAAGTAACAGGTAGTAACTACTGTAGTTACACACAATTAAAAATTAAATAAATAACTCATTTAAAGTTAAATTTAAATATCAGAGTGAAAAGTTAAAAAAAAAACAATTTTTTATTAAAGGTTTAACTTTAATTTCACTTTTCATTGCAATTGATATTGTCTAATTAAACTGTAATTAAAACTTAAGCAAAGCATGAAATGTTGCTCATATGTTTTTTTGTTTTTTTTTAGCATGTGTATTGTGGCATATTCAAAATATTTCGTAGCTAAGGTTCCCTAATGTCTTTTAAGAGTGGCTTTATATTAAGGGATGGTGCTTTTAAAAGAAAATAAAAATTGTGCACAAAATAAATGTAAACAAACTACAGAGATCAGTTGCATATACGAAGATTATTTCTGAATTAAGGTGATGAATAAAGATAAAATAATTTTATTATTTCTAAATTCTCATAATTTTTACATACATAGGATGCTGAAAGTAAAATACCAAAAGCCTTCTGCAAGAACTAGCCTAAAGTCCACCCAAAAGGCTAGTTGTAAATAAAATACTCAGTATTAAGAAATAGAGTACTGATTTTTTTTTAATTTTTATTAAAGCTTTAAAGAAGAGGGATTTTTTTCTAAAAGCATATATATAAATTATATGCAAAAATATAAAACAAATGGGGGGAAGATCATGGACAAGAAAAAAGTTACTCACCATAAAGTGGTGGATTGAGAAAGTATAACAAAAAAGAAATAACCAATTATAACCCCCTCTCACCTCTTTTTTTCAATCTATGCTGAAATCCATCCAGAAAGTTATTCTTCACAATCCATCAACTCAGTTCCATTATCTGTAATTATAGATGCCAGTGTGATACTGAATATACTGGTATAAGTAATCAGAAGTTGGAGACTAGGATTAATCAGCACATCCACCAAGAGCAATGTGAAAATTTGCATATGCTTGTGAATAGATCCGAATATTGTGGAAGAATTAAGATAATCCAATCTGTACTGCATCTTTCATCACAGATTTTTCACCATAATCCACAGAGTGCATTCAAATTACCATCTGCAAATTTTTGAGACTATTTATATTAAGTCAAAGCAGATTTCCCTCTGCAAGTGAAAAAAAAATGGCTGCTGAGGCTAAACGTTTGTGATTAATACTGCTAATTCCTTGGCAGTAAATCTCCTCACACACACACACACACAGTTTTTCTTTTTAGCTATTGTGAATATATTTTTTGTTCTTAATTGACTCAGAAGAGTGAGGATCAATAAGTGGTTAGTCCTTTTTTGTTGTTTCAATCCACCTCTTTACAGTGAGTAATATTTTTTCCTATCCTTGCTCTTCCCATTTGTTTTATATATATATATATAGAGAGAGAGAGAGAGAGGTCAGCTGAAAAGTTTGTGCTGACCAAGATACTCTGATGGAATATGACCAAATGAGATTTATTTTCAACATTGTCCCCCTTGTAGTCCTCACATTTATTTCATCAATGTTGCAGTGCTTGGATCCATTGGTGAAGAAGCTTTTCATCTTGTTTATTACAAAAATCATCAACAGCAGATATGACAACATCATTGTCATCATCACTGCACTACATGTTCCCAGCTAAGTGTTTTTGCATGTTGAGGAACAGATGATAATCTGATGATGCCATATCAGAATCAGGAGGGTGATCAACCAGTGCTGGATCATTGTCCTCATGTAACAAAACTCCTTCTGACACTTTTCCTAGGTGTCTGGTCTTGACAGCCTTTCATAACTGCCTCAGTAAGTTGGCATAGTACTCTCTATAGATGGTGTGGCCCTTTTGAAGATCGTCAATAAGCACAATGCCTTTTGCATCCCAAAAAACTGAGGCTATCACCTTCCCTGCAGATAAAAAGACATTGGCTTTCTTTGGAGCAGATGAGGAGGAGTGTTTCCACTGCATGGTTTGTCTCTTTGTCTCTGTCTCAAAGTGATGAACCCAACACTCATCCTAAGTTAGGAAATGTTCAAGAAACCCAACTAGATCTCTGCCTCGATCAATGTCAGATTTTCTCATTATGTGATCAACCTGGTGTACTTTTGATCAGGTGTCAAAAGAGATGGCACTCATTGAGCAGAAACTTTTGTTATGTTAAGTTCATTGTGCAGAATATTCTCAATGCTCTCATGGGATATGTAAATAGCATTAGCTATTTGATTTAGATTCAATCACCTTTCATCTATTACCATGTGATGAACACCATCAATGTTTTCTTCAATGGTGGCACTTGCAGGACGTCCAGACTTTGGGTCAATTTCAAGACTCTCCTTTTCCCACCTAAATTCAGCTGCCCACTTTTGCACTGTTGATAAAGCTGGAGTCTCATCTCCTAATGTAGCAAACTTGGGAGCTGAAACCTATTGTTTTGCAGCTACTTGATAGCATCAAAGTTTATCTATTTTCTACAGAAGACTCACTACTAGTTATTTTTTAATCTTTCTTTAAACAGTCAGACTTAAGTTTACCTGGAAAAAGACAATGCAATTATTAATGAGAAGAGGTGAAAATAATGCACACACAATTTCACAACTCTAGCATCACTCCTTCATAGTCAGCCTATGAACTTTTCAGCCCACCCTCGAACTTTTAAAAATGTCTGTTTTTAAATCTTTTGTGTCACATTAGTATTAGTAAATAAAATAAAATATTCAAAAACTTGTCTCTCAAATTCAAGTTTCACAAAAATTACTCCATTCATCAGGGGTAAAGATAAATCAATTGAATTTGTTAACATATATCAAATTTAAAATATCATACAAAAGAGAGTGGATGCTTTATCATCCGCTCTCTTTTGTATGCATGTGTCATCACATCAGTGTAAACCTCACTTTGTCAGTTTTTTTTCCTCCAAATATATCTATATATATGTTTTTGGAAGGGAGCGGGGTTATAGGTGTGCATTTTCCAAACAGTAACTTCATAGCCATTTGTAAAAAAAAAAAAAAATATAAATTTAATATGATATTAGTCGAATGTTTTCATTCTCTTTATTATGAGGGTTTTCTTTATATTAAACAACTCATCTTTTTTTTTTTTTATGTCTTTTTCATAAGTTTTGCTTTTATTTGTTTTCAGATAAAATTTTCAAAGGATTTCAAGAAGGAAGGATTGTTTTTCCACCAACCTACAAATTTGATATTAAGTCAGACACAAATACATATCACAAATTACGGACACCTTCATACACAGTAAGCAAGCTTTTCTTTTCAGTAAGAACAAGCACACAAGAAGGATTTTATATTTTCATGATTAGAAGAGTCATTTAGCTTTTGCTGTACAAAATAGACTTTTTTAAAATATCCATTCATTGTTTTCTATTGAATTTATTTGTCTTTAGCAGCTCACATGGAACAAATGTTATTTAAACATGACATATATTTGGTATTTATTGGCTAGCACTAAATTTGAGATAAGGCCATATTGATAAAAGTGAAGAATGAAGTTACTTGAAAAAACTTGTGACATGAGAAGATCTGTTCAATTATTGGCAGATGGGGAGAATGTAAAGCATTCTTTCTTCATCATTTGATTGATCACATTAGAAGCAAATCCAATTCAAAAAAGAAACATTTCCAATTATAATGTTTTTTGACTCTTAAACTCATCCTGCTTTTTATCTTAGAATTTAACAGTTTCACACAATTTTCTCAAGTTACTTAGCCAAATTTGAGAAATGTAGACATTTTTTAACATTTTAGCTTCTATTCTTTTCCTTAAGATTTGAAACTTTGTTTTATTCTGTTAAAATTTGAAAGGCTCCATTGTTGTCTTGATTTCAATAAGAAAATGTTTTTGCGTCTACAGACATCAAAAGAAAATAATTTGACAATTACTAAGCTTATCTGATATTTCTGGATCTAATCAGCCATTTACCTTACTCACCAATCATTCTGAGCAAAAGTAGGTTTTTATGGTTGCAAGCCCTACCCGTTACATTTTTAAGGAAGGAGTCATTATCAATTCCAATCCTGGTTTTGAATTCCGAATTGTTCTTTGATTGTCAACTTGATCTGCCCTTTTTCATCCATAGCTGGGTGGGGAGAGAAGAGACTGGATTTCCCAAGGGCATGAGGACACAATGGACACAAACTTTTTCAGCTGGAGTTTCAATCGACTTGTCAATTCCGTTGTTTGTGCTGCTAAACATTAAGCCAACTGTTCCTTCTGAAATTATCCAGTTAAAAACAACTTTTTATGTCCGATAGGTATGATTGGTTTAACTGAAAACCTTTTTTTGGTTTCATCTCCACACCGTGAAACCGCATCGAAAATTTTTACAAAAACGAAATCGTTCAGTTTTTTAAGTACTATCACAACTGAGTGACCATATCCAAAGAAACACTATTGAAAAAGACTTTCACATGTTAATAAAATTAACCACTTTATACCATTGTAAGAGAAAAATATTAAACAAAAATCTGTTAAAAACATTTAATTGACTAGTTTTAGGAAATAAATATGAAATCTATTTGTTTACAAAAGAAATGAAGAAGAAAAAAAAAGGAAATACGACATGACGTCTGAAATTTATTTGTTTCAGTTTTGAAAAAAAAACTTTTTGTGGTAAAATTAAGTTAAGAGCAAAATATCAAGTAAAAATAAAAATAAAAATAGTTGCCAGTTTTGACTTAATCTTAAATTTTATGAAGTCAAATTTTTTGTAATAAGGGTAATTGTTTTCTAGTAAAGCCAGTGTTACACCAATCACGAAATAAAGTTGTTGTAAACAAGAAAAATGAATGAAGATTTTTTTATATAAATAAATATGTTAAGAATAGTTAAAATAGTTCTTAATTTCACTCTTAAAATAATGTGTATATTTCCAGATATGTGAGTCTCTAGTCACTAGTGTAAAATTGTCTGTTTTCTACAAATAAAATTGTTTCTATTTAGCGAATACACCTAAAATTAGATATTAAAAAAATAAAATGTTTTCATCTCAGTTTTAAAATGTGTATATTTTCAAAACTGCAAGTCATTTTTTGAAACCCAAAGTAAAAATTATTCTTTTTTAGCCACTAATGTTCAGTAGGTTTTTGTTACTGTTCTGCCTATAAAATTCTTCTAAACAAGGAAAATTAATTCATTTTATTTTCACAATATCCTTATGGTTTTATTTTATCTAGCGAATACACTTAAAATTATATATTAAAATGATTAAAATAGTTTTTAATTTTAGTTTTAAAATCTGTATCTAAAAAAGAACAGGTGATACTCACTGATTTGGAAATCTACACATTCTAAAAAATGAAACTAAAAGCTTTTAATTATTTTTAATATTTAATTTCATGTGTATTCGTTAAATAAAAACATAAATTTATTTAGGGGGAAAAAATAACTCATTGATTTTCCTTGTTTAGAAGAAATTTATTTGCAAAACCCCAGTAACAGTTGACTGGCATGCCAGAAAATAATTACTGTATTTTATTTTTTATTTATTTATTTATTTATTTTTTTTAGCTTACTTTATAATTTTTGAAAGAATTTGCTTCCTCGGGTTAGAGAAGAAATGAACATTTTTCTGGTTGTAGTTTAAGGTGTCTTCTAATTGATTGTACAATTTCAAGAATATTGATAAAGATTGGTCACGTTGATTTTTGTGAAACAAAGTAATGTGTAAAATTTAGTCTCGGGGTGGGGGGGAATACAAATTACATATTTAGAAATATTTTATTTTCTTTCCAGCCATATGAATATTTTTAACTAAAATTGGACCAGAAATACACAAGAATTTGCGAGTTGAATGGACTAAGTTTCAAATTAATCAATCTCAAATGAAATCAGATATTGACTGGAAATGCTATCATTACACAAGAAAATGAATGGCCTCCTTAGAAAGCAAAAATACTAAACCTGAAAAACCAAATCAAAAACCACGGTATCAAAGGAAAAAAAATCAAAAACCGATACTGAAACATAAATTGCCAAACTGACCAGCTCTATAGATAGGATCTTGTCTGATTTACATTTAACTCAATAATCATCAAAACATGGAATTAAAGAATCAAGTACACAAAAAAAAAAATGTTCATTAAATTCCATTCTTTTCAGAATGCAGCACAAAATCTATATTCTGATCCCTGCCCACATTTTTATGATAGTTGCTTTCTATGGCTTCCAAATTTTAGATAGCAGTCATAACAAGTGTGTAAAAGGAAATTTGTATTAGAAAGTGATTTTCGTTTTTTCATATTTGTCTTTGCATGACCTTATATATGTTAGTGAAAGATTAAAAAAAAATTGTGCCTCTTTTTTTCTTTTTCCTTTTTTCTAGGATCGTGTCCTTTTCCGGTCAAAAAGAAAAAACTGCATTACCTGCATCTATTACAATTGTGCCGAGAATGTCAAATTATCTGACCACAAGCCAGTGTTTGGTATCTATGAAGTTGCAATCCGTCCAGGACGAGACACGTATGTCAATCTGTTATAGAAAAAAGACCTAATCAAATGCCATGAATCAATTAAAACAATGTCAAATATTCAACTTATTTTTTGCTGTTTTCAAAAGCCATTAAAAACAAATCATAAATTGAAGTTCAGCTCATGTGCATTACATCATAGAATAAAAATACATCTGGATTATTAAACACGTTTGCAAGATTTTCAGACCTTTCTCTTTAGAGGTCAATTAAAAAAAAAGCGCAAAATGGCTTTTCTCTTTTGATCATACAGTTCAGAAATAGATCAGAAATAAATTTATGTTAATTATACAAAAGTATTTGAGGAAAAAAGAAAATGCCTAAAATTTTCTATTGACAATGTTCAAACAAAAAATGGCAACATATTTTTTATATTTATTCTTGACTTTATGTATTTGCTTCATTTTGCTCCATCAACAAACCTTTTTTACTTTGCCTATAATTTGGCCTTCATTCCTTTCTGACTGCAATGAACCCTTAACTTTCTTGTTCTCCTTTATGTCCTGAATTGATGAACTCACTTTTAACTCTCTTTTGCTTTGAATAATATTTCTTTTGTACAGTTTTTACCATTCATTTTAAGGTGAATTTAATTTTAGAGAAGGAAACTAAATCTGTTTCATTTTCATTTACTTGAGCAGTAAGGAGTGTATTGATTCAAATGCCTGGGATAAAAAAGCAGCAATCATAAAACGGAGAGAAACTAGTAATAATAGTTATATGGAAGAATCATCTAAAAATAATTCCAAATACTTTAAGAATTTTTGAATGATGTCTTTTAATTAGAGGAAGAAGTCAATTGTTTGTCTTTGCTTCAAAACATGACATCTTCATATTTGTCATCATTTACAAGAAAGCATTCCAGAGTTCATACGGTTCAGATGAATTGACCTTTCATCATTTTATGTTCTGTATCCATTTACAGTTACGCCTTCACATCACCTTTCATTGGATCTCATTTCTGTTCATTGCTAACAAGTTGTTTTCTATTACAGATTAACACTTGATGCTGGTCGTTTCAATAAAGAAGTTTACATTGAAGGTAAGACTTTTTATTATTTCATCTTTTCATTCTGTCTTTTACGATTGTTATCATTATGGTTATTGCACCTTTTAAGGATGTTAAAAAAAATCCCTAAAGAATAGTGCCATCCACCAATTTGACATTCCAAGACATTAGTAGAGGTTGTACGAAATTGTGATTTGTCTATTGTTTCTATAGGTTTCTTTATTGGATGCTTTATTGATGATTCTCATTAACAAACATTTCTATAAATTATTCAGAAGAGTATCCTCATCTTTGTTGTTTTTATCTTAATGTTCTGACTGATATTTTTTTTTTTTTTTGCTTCTCTCCTTTGTATGTCGTATATAGTAATCCTCAAGGATAGGCTCAGTTGGCCAATCATAGCCAGCCTGCCTTCAGTCTTATTCAATTTTGCTGCTGATAGCCAGAGTGTCTATCCTTAAATTTTAACTCATACTGTCTTTGTTCTTAATTACTTTCTACCATTTTTGTAAACTATTTCATGTTGAGAGTGAGTTCTGTATTATTTGTTACTTTAAAAATGGAGGCAAATTTCTTTGTTTATAAATTTTCAAACTTATCAGAAATTTTTCAAAAATCTTCTATGAATCTAAATATTGTTTCCTCAAATCTTTAATGTCTTATCTCAAACCAAAATCCCAAACGGCAGCCTCTGAATGTCTATCATCTGTTTTTTTTTTGTATTTTTTTTTTTTTTTTTAGCCAACAAGAGACGGGCTCAATCGCAATATGGCAAGCCTGTCAATCACAAGTCCAGTTCTGTGTGCAGTATTCAATAAAGACAAACAAGAAAACAGATTTATCATCTTTTTGCCACCAAGAAAAGTAAAATACCACCATTATTACTGCTGGATATTTCATCTTTGAATTCACCCCAAAATAATGACATTGACTTTTCCTTACAAATTTATCAATATTTATTTTTAGTTTTCAAAAAAAGAAAAGAAAAACAGATAAAGTTTCTTTCCAGTTATGTCCTGCTGAAGATAAGAAAAAGAAAATAATCTTTTATTTTCAGTTCCTGGAATCATTTGCAGTATTTTTTTCTTCCTAATTTAACCTGATTTTCTCTGTTCCATTCAATGATAGAAATTGAATCTTCTTTGTATCTTTACAATGTTTCTTTGTTTCTTTTTCTTCTTCTTTTGACAAACAACAGAGTTTCTCTTCTCTTCAGCTCCCTTCTTTCTTCAAAAATATTATCTTCTCTGGTTTTCACAAAATTTCCCAAGAACTTGATCTCTATTCAAATCATGCCTAATTACATATCTTTTTTTTTATTTTAAAATTGAATTGGTATGATTTTTTTTTACCTTTTCAACTTAATGTTATTCAAAATACAAATTAGTTTCAAATATTAAAATGTTTTATTACGACCATATATAAACCATACTTGGAAGTTATATATATATATATATATATATATATATATATATATATGTGTGTGTGTGTGTGTGGTGTGATTTGCTATTAGTTTACAATTGATCAGTATGATTTATGTGAATTTATTTCCTACAATATTGACAAAGATTATAGAAAGGTCATAAATAATAATTGATCACTTGTCAATTGGCTGTTATTCACTTAGTGTCCTACTTTTGGTTCAGCAATGACCACAAGGCATGTTAACTTCAATGTTTGAGTTCTGATTAAGTGGGAATCAGCAATCGTTTGTCAATGTTTATACATAACCTTGTCTAGGGAATCAATTTGGCCTTTGGCTCAAGGTACAGGTTTATTGTTCAAATGAGGATTATGAATGAGTTGTATGATCTGAATGAAGGAAGAAGTAGTAAGAAGTGAAGATTATGAGGATAAGGAGGATATATAATGATTGACCCTTGATTTGAAGAGATTCTTTTTATGGGAAATCAATTGGCTTTATTTAAAATTTATGTTTGACATAAAAGAAATAGTAGAAAGATATGATTTGTTTGAACTCAAATTCAATCTATCTGATAACAGTCACTTTCTGCTCTATGGCTAGGGGAGAGGAACTGCTTTGTTTTTTGTTTATAATATACTCCTGGAACCTGACTGCTGCTGTCACCTCATTTCTCCTTAAAAAAAAAAAAAGCGGATTTGTCGAATTCCACAAATCTGTTTAACTTTATATTATAACCCCCTGAGCAACAACTTGTTAGGGATGTGTCCAAAGTAACTTTGTTGCTGCTGTGAAAGGCAAAACCTATCAAACCATTAATAATCTATTTCAGCTACTGACCATCTTTCTAACATAGACCTTGGCTAATGTGCCTCTCCACATAAAATGCTTATTGACTAATGAAATAGTTAAGAAAGCTATTTCCATCTATTGATGTCCAATGTACATGTCTTTAGGGATTAGCTCAGGTGTTATAATATTGGATCATGAGATCAATGACTTTATCTCCATTGCTGATTGGGTGAGCTTCATGCTCAGCTAAGCAAAAAAAGAAATCTGAAACAAACAGCTTTAATAGCCTCTTGAATTTGTTAAAGGAAGTGTACTTGAAAGGTATGAATGTTTTCTATTTGATAGCATTTCTCTTAAGATTGAATTTGAAAAAAAAAATTAGGATGAGTTTACCCATCATGCACATGTGTGTGTGTGTGTGTATATATATATATATATATATATATATATATGAATGTATTTCATGGTCATCAACTCCAGTTGAAACTTAATTATCTGAGATTTACTTTCATGGCTTTTTTCTTAGGCTTAATGTTTCTTTGGTCAAATAAACGCACACAGAAGATCTTGATTTGTAAACTGAGTAAAACAATACAGTTTTAGTGTTATCAGGTTTTGTACATAAACCTGAATTGACACATAGTTAATTGTATTTAGTTTTGTATTGAACTGACCAAAATGTTAATTCTGTTTTTATCATAAGATGGCATTGGGAGTGTTTAGTTTTAACTAATTTCATTTAAAAACATTGGTGGTTATCTGACAACTGTTATATCAAAGTGTATTTTTAAACATTTTTGTCAAAATTATTTTTGATTACTTCATCTATATTATGGAAGATAGAACAAAATAAGTAACTTTTTTAACATTATGCTTTTTTATTTAAAAAAAAGTAAAAATGTGATACAAATGCAAAAAAAAAAGGATTTTTACAATTTATGGAGAAGGTACTGTGAATGACTGAATGTCAAATATGCTTTGTGAATTTTCATGGTAGTGATTTCTTGGTGGATACTGCTTCACAACTGGGCAGACAAATTGAGATTGATGGTGAGAATAATCAAGAAATTCCTTAAGAGTCCTCAACATTATACAATGCAAAAGAAAGTGTTGAATATCATTAGCACCATCTTGATTATGTTAACCTCTTTGGTGTGTGGCCTCAATATAAGTTCATGTAAAAAAAAAAAAAATCTACAGGACTTGTGAAGAAGGAAATGGCAGTTTAATTCATCAATCAAAATGCCTCCCTGTGTTGCATGCTCTTAGTGTTGAGCAAGACAAACCACCCAAAACAAGGTCTGTTTTATAGACGCACAAATGCAAAATTTTGCTCTCACAGTTAATCACAAGTGTTGTGAGGGCTTTATGAACTCCTGTTTTTATTATCAGCAAGGAGTGTTAGTAGTATGCTAGCAGTGTGAACACAGATTTTGCAAACCAATATCTTCAAGTATCTTCTTTTTACAAAAAAATGTACTATTTTCTTCTCAAATGTCAAAAATCTTCCATTTTTTAAACTGTGATAAGTAATAAAAAGTGGATACTTTACAATAATGTAGAATACAAGAAATTATGAGGTGAGAGGAAGTGTCACTAATTAAAATACCAAAGGTTATTCTTTAATCAAAGATGGTGATGCTTTGTATTATGTGGAATTGAAAACTAGTTTTCTTTGAGGAACACCTGAAGAACCAAACAATTGATTTGAACAGTTACTTCTATAAATGAAATTAATTGTAGGCAGTAATCAATGAAGTATCTAGAATTAACAGAAAGATTGTAATATTCCATCAGGATAACAATAGACAATTTTATCACTCATCCACTCAATTCACCAAATGAGATTAGTATCGTTTATACCAGTCTACAGTATTGTCTTAATAAAATTAAAACATATGTTCCCTGGGAGACCACAAAATGCATGTAGATCAGTTCTTGACTAAAAGAGCTTAAAGGCTCTGGGGGGATAAAACTATGAAGTTGCCTGAAAGATTGCCAGTGATGATGGAACAAAACAGTAAATAAGCTGTTCAGTAAAGTTAATGTGGAAAAGAAAAGAAAAATGTCTTATTTTTAATAGACCCTATAAACAGTTTGGTCACCCAGTAATATCAGAGTTAATCAAATATTTCACCACTTCTTTATTTTTTTTAATCAGTCAGAATGTTGTAGCTATTTATCTTTCCCACAGATACAAAATACATGGCAATATCAAGTGGTTACTATGAAGCTTTGTCTGACACAAGGCCTTAATATTTGAACACTCCATGCAGGACATCTCACTACACTAGCAAATTGGTCTACAAGATGAGTTTGCTAAACATTGCACCATAGTATATGCTCCAAATGCTAAGTCTGGCATAAGGTCACTGTAAAAGAGTACATGGTTAGGGCTAGACTCACTACCCTTGCAAATTGGGATACAAAACTAACTTGCTAACAATTGTTATTCTTATTTTGAGAAAACTCGAACACCATTTAAATAGTTTCTTCCGTTATTCTCTATCAATAGCATATGAAGTCTGTTTATCAATTGGTTTCACGCTTGCATTTTAAGTACAATTCAGTACTAGTGACTGCGACTCCTAGCAATGGCAGTATTTAACTAACAAGAATTAGTTGATCCATGCTGATGTAATTGACTGTGTTGCTTACCATCTGCCACTGATCACAGCATATCAAGCCAAAGTATTGTTCGGTTGATGCAGCTGCCTATGCAAATGGAGCGCTTCTGTTAAGGATTGAACTAGCTTATGTTGGACCTGGGAGGAGATAAACTCCTACCAGTAGTAGAGCTCTTCAAGTCTGCAAAACACTCTACCACATAGTTATTTAATCATAGATTGTTAGGGCCTCAATATATGGTAGATATGGTACATTGTATTTTAATATATCTCTATAAAACATAAAATCCTTATAGCACTAATAATATATATATATATAATATACACACACACAAACATCTCGATGTCCTTTCCACTTTTCAAAATAGGCCAGTAAATTCGTCTTTAGGGATCACCAATAATTGTTTCATTCTCTTTAATCTCATCCACTGTTTGAAATTTCTTTCCTTCCAAAAGTGATTTTAGTTTTCGAAAAAGTTAGAAATCAGAAGGAAGCAAATCTAAACTATAGGAGAGATCGTGCCCCCCTCCCTCCCCAAAGATAATGTGATGATTTGTTCAACCATCCAACACCCACACACCAGATGATCTGATGATTTGCCAAAAAAAGAAAACCTGGAACTTATTGGAAATGCAATAGTCACAGTACACAAATCACTCATATCTTCTTCTTCTAATTGGTTGCCAAGTAACATGAAGGCCATGTAATTAATTCTCAAGATATTCTAAATACCTAGATGCTTACCAGACAAAATTTACCTACACATTTCTATGAACAGAAATGTTGGATTTTTAATTTTTTTAATGAGTCTTTATTCAAACAAGACAGTTTCTTTTGTTTTTTTTTTAAATTAATTCCTAGTAGAATCTCATGTTAGCAATGCCTGATAACATGAGATAATATGATATGAGACAAAAATTTTCCATATATAAAATAATAATGCCTCACTTCAGAAGTACAGACAGATACTGTAAA